TGGAAGGACGCCAGTTCACGGAGATCCCGCCTGGCTACCCTCCACCTCCCATCCTGCAACGATACGCAACACCCGACGCTCGACTGGGGAAGACACACCCACTGAATGAAAACCGAAAGTTTTAGAGGGATGATTAGGTTTCGCCGAATTGGGGATCTGGATAGAAAATCGTGATATGCAAAATTTGAACTCACCATTTATCTAATTCATAACATAGTTAACAAGAGTACTAAAGGAGATGTATTATGATTTGTTTCCAATAATTTTACCTCCAACGTGTACTTTAATTGATCAATTTCCATTAAATAAAATGAGCACTGTTGAGTCCGGCCCAATTGTGGGTTTGGACCAAATAAGGGTCAAAGGCTCATTTTCTCTTCATAAAATAAATAAAAAAAATGGGTTTTGTAACCTATCTCGTGCGCACGCAGATAAGCAGCAAAAGATAGAAGAAAGAAACAAACAACACTACTTCCTTTTCTTATTCTCGCATTTACCTGCGCAGTCTCGGAAAATTGCGGATTCCCGGATATTGCACCGTTGGATCATCACCAAATTTTGACAACAGGTTCAAGACTTCTCACCCTTCGTTGTGAACGGTGGAGATCGGATTTTGAGCACTTTTGGGCTGTCTGTTCGTAAGTGACGTGAAGGGAATATTTTGGGGTGTTTTGTTGAATTGTTTCTTGTGGTTTGCCATGATCTTGTGTTGTGATCTTGAAGATTGTTGTTTGCCTCTAGTTTGATGAACTAGAGAGGATTTCAATTGTACCTATTATCGGATTGAATAGTGGATGATTTAAGCGGCCTACGGGTCCCGTGGTTTTTACCCAATTTGGGGTTTTCCACGCTAAAAATCTCGTGTCATTTTATTACTTGCTTGATCGTTATTTGGTTGCTCTTGCTTGTGGTTATTGTTGTTGTTGACTGGACTTGGTGCTTTATTATTTGGTTAAAGTCGTCGTTGTATTTGGTGGCTTTAACCACAACAAAGTGGTATCAGAGCCAGGTTGGTTCGTGTACCTTGTCCAAATCATAGAAACTAACACAAGCCGGATGGTTACCTTGAATGGGTGCAATTACCATGTGTAGAAAGGGAAGATGGAAGATCTCTTGTATGTGAAGGATTATTATTTTCCCGTGTTTACCAATGAGAAGCCGTCGGATAAAATCGATAAAGAATGGGAGTTTTGTCACCATCAGGTGTGTGGCTACATTAGGCAATGGGTAGATGATAATGTCCTCAACCACGTTAGTGAAGAAAAGCATGCACAGATCTTGTGGAATAAACTCGAAGAGTTGTATGCGCGGAAAACTGGGAACAACAAGTTGTTTTTGATCAAGCAGATGATGGCTTTGAAGTACCAGGATGGAAAGACTATGTCAAACCACTTGAACACATTCCAAGGAATCATTAATCAGCTGGCTGGAATGAATATCAAGTTTGACGATGAAATACAAGGGTTGTGGCTTCTTGGTACTTTACCGGACTCGTGGGAGACGTTCAGAACGTCTTTGTCTAACTCAGCCCCGAATGGAATTTGCTCCATGGATATGGTGAAGAGCAGTGTCCTGAACGAAGAGATGAGAAGAAAATCACAGGGTTCTTCTTCACAGACGGATGTCTAATTCGTTGAAAGGCGGGGGAAAAGTAAAAGCATGGGCCCGAATGATAGAAATCGAAGTAAAAACAAGTCTGGAAGGTATGCAAACCTTGAGTGTCACCATTGTGGCAAAAAGGGACACATCAAGAGGTATTGCAGAAAGTTCCTTAGGGAGAATCCGAATGGCAAAGGCAAAGAAACGAAAGCTGGAGATAGTGAAGATGGTGAGAAGGTAGCGGCGGCCACCGATGACTTTCTTATCATTTATGAAGGCGATGCCGTCAATGTCGCTTGCCAGGAGACTAGTTGGGTGATCGATAGCGGTGCTTCAATTCATGTCACATCGCGAAGGGATTTCTTCAGGTCCTACACTCCCGGTGACTTCGGAAGTGTTAGGATGGGAAATGATGGTATTGCTAAGGTAGTTGGCATGGGAGACGTGCACTTGGAGACTGAAAATGGCAACACCTTAGTTTTGAGAGGTGTGAAGCATGTTCCCAACATTCGCATGAATTTGATATCTACCGACAAGCTCGATGATGAAGGATTTTGTAACACCTTTCGAGACGGAAAGTGGAAACTCACCAAGGGATCCTTGATTGTGGCGAGAGGGCAAAAGTATTCTTCATTGTACGTGATGAACGTGAAGATTGTGGATCCTATGATCAATGCGGTGGATGATGAACGCACTGTGGAACTTTGGCACAACCGACTTAGCCACATGAGCGAGAAGGGTTTGACAGTGTTGTCCAAGAAGAATCTCGTCCCAGGTGTGAAAACGGATTTACTGAAGAAGTGTGCTCACTGCTTAGCAGGGAAGCAAACCAGAGTTGCCTTCAAGAGAGTTCCCCACCCACGCAAAACGAGTATTTTGGATATGGTCCACTCTGATGTATGTGGTCCAATGAAGAGGAGAACACTTGGTGGTGCCTTGTACTTTGTGAATTTCATCGACGATCATTCAAGGAAGATTTGGGTGTATATGTTGAAGTCAAAAGATCAAGTTGTAGACGTCTTCAAGCAGTTTCATGCTCGTGTGGAACGAGAAACATGTGTGAAGCTTAAGTGCATCCGAACAGATAATGGAGGTGAATACTGCGGCCCGTTTGATGAGTATTGTAGGCAGCATGGTATTCGACACCAAAAGACACCTCCAAAGACTCCTCAGTTGAATGGGTTAGTTGAGAGGACGAACCGGACACTAGTTGAGAGGGTGAGATGTTTGCTTTCGCAGTCACAGTTACCGAGGTCCTTTTGGGGTGAAGCCTTGAGTACAGTGGTGCATGTTTTGAATCTTACTCCGTGTGTTCCATTGAATTTGAGGTTCCAGACAGGATGTGGTCGGGAAAGGAAGTTTCGTACAATCACTTGCGTGTTTTTGGATGCAAGGCCTTTGTTCATATTCCGAAAGATGAGAGGTCGAAGCTCGACATGAAAACAAGGCCATGTGTGTTCGTCGGTTATGGCCTTGATGAGTTTGGATACAGGTTCTATGACTCAGTGCAGAAAAAGCCTGTAAGAAGTCGAGATGCGGTGTTCGTAGAAGACCAGAGTATAAAAGACATCGATAAAGCCGAGATGACAGAGAAGTACAACGATGATCTGGTTGATTTAGATCCAGTCTCTATACCTACTGTGTATCCTGATCAAGGGGGAAGCGACGCCAGATATTGATGTTGGTCCTGCAAATGGTGATGTCCCCACAGTTGATGATGTTGAGCCAACTGATGAAGTTGAAGAAGGGGTTCAAGAACCACCAGAAGAACCTATTTTGAGGAGATCCAGTCGAGAGCGGCGTTCATCGACTAGATACTCCTCAAACGAGTATGTGATGATCACCAATGCCGGAGAGCCAGAAACCTACCAAGAGGCGACCTCAGTCGATGAAAAGAAGCAGTGGTTGAAAGCTATGGAAGAAGAGATGGAGTCTCTTCACGAGAACCACACTTATGACTTGGTGAAGTTACCTAAAGGCAAGAAAGCGCTCAAAAACAGATGGGTCTATAGATTGAAGATCGAAAATGCTAGCTCGCAGCCACGATTCAAGGCACGATTGGTTGTGAAAGGGTACGGTCAGAAAAAGGGAATCGACTTTGAAGAGATATTCTCACCGGTGGTGAAGATGTCCTCGATTCGAGTTCCTCTTGGTTTAGCGGCGCGGTTGAACTTGGAGATCGAGCAACTTGATGTGAAAACTGCGTTTCTTCACGGCGACTTGGAAGAAAAAATTTATATGGAGCAGCCCGAGGGATTCCAGGTTCAAGGCAAAGAGCATCTTGTATGCAGATTGAAGAAGAGCTTGTATGGCCTTAAACAAGCTCCGAGGCTGTGGTACAAGAAATTCGACTCCTTCATGGTGAGTCATGGGTACAGCCGAACATCGTCAGACCATTGTGTGTTCGTCAAGAGGTATTCCGATGATGATTTTATTATTCTCCTCTTGTACGTTGATGATATGTTGGTCATAGACCATGATACTAGCAAGATTGCTCAGTTGAAGAGAGACTTAAGCAAGTCTTTTGCGATGAAAGACTTAGGAGCGGCGAAAAAGATACTCGGTATGAAGATCTCTCGTGATAGAAAGAATGGGAAGCTATGGTTGTCCCAGGAAGACTACATTGAGAAGGTACTTGAGAAGTTTAACATGAGCAAGGCAAGGGTGGTGACCTCTTCACTTGCAGGTCACTTTAAGCTCAATTCGGAGCAATGCCGTACAAGTGAAAGAGACAAGGCAGACATGAGTCGAGTTCCTTATGCGTCTGCGGTTGACAGTTTGATGTATGCCATGGTGTGCACGAGGCCCAATATTGCTCATGCTGTTGGAGTAGTTAGTCGTTTTCTCTCCAATCCGGGAAGAGAACATTGGGAAGCCGTCAAGTGGATATTGAGATATCTCAGAGGTACCTCAAGAGCATGTTTATGCTTCGGTGGTGGTGATCCTATGCTAGTTGGATATACCGATTCAGATATGGCAGGTGATATTGATTCCAGAAAGTCCATTTCAGGATTTCTGATGACTTTTGCAGGGGGAGCCGTGTCGTGGCAGTCTAAGCTGCAAAAGTGTGTTGCGTTGTCTACCACAGAAGCCGAGTACATTGCCATTACAGAAGGTTGCAAAGAGGCTTTGTGGATGAGGAAATTCCTAGAGGAATTGGTGATAGCCAAGCGCTATCCACCTCTCTAAGAACTCGTCATTTCATTTGAGGTCCAAGCACATTGAAGTGAGGTATCACTGGATTCGAAACGTTCTCGAATCAAAACAATTACACTTAGCGAAAGTTCATACGAGTGAGAATGGTGCAGACATGATGAAGAAGACTTTGCCGAAAGAGAAGCTTGAAGTATGTCGGCGAAGAGCGGGCTTGTTGGAGCCCACCACTTGATCCGGAGGGGCGTTTGTTGAGTCCGGCCCAATTGTGGGTTTAGACCAAATAAGGGTCAAAGGCCCATTTTCTCTTCATAAAATAAATAAAAAAAGGTTTTGTAACCTATCTCGTGCGCACGCAGATAAGCAGCAAAAGATAGAAGAAAGAAACAAACAACACTACTTCCTTTTCTTATTCTCGCATTTACCTGCGCAGTCTCTGAAAATCGCGGACTCCCGGATATTGCACCGTTGGATCGTCACCAAATTTTAACAGCAGGTTCAAGACTTCTCACCCTTCGTTTTGAACGGTGGAGATCGGATTTTGAGCACTTTTGGGCTGTCTGTTCGTAAGTGACGTGAAGGGAATATTTTGTGGTGTTTTGTTGAATTGTTTCTTGTGGTTTGCCAAGATCTTGTGTTGTGATCTTGAAGATTGTTGTTTGCCTCTAGTTTGATGAACTAGAGAGGATTTCGGTTGTACCCATTATCGGATTGAATAGTGGATGATTTAAGCGGCCTACGGGTCCTGTGGTTTTTACCCAATTTGGGGTTTTCCAAGCTAAAAATCTCGTGTCATTTTATTGCTTGCTTGATCGTTGTTTGGTTGCTCTTGCTTGTGGTTATTGTTGTTGTTGATTGGACTTGATGCTTTATTATTCAGTTAAAGTCGTTGTTGTATTTGGTGGCTTTAACAACAACAAGCACAACTTATGATGAGTAGTTATTGGTTAATTTCTGACAACATGGTAAATGAACTTAGAAACTTGAAAGAGGATAAAGTACAAGACAAAAGTATGCATGTGCAGACTACAGAGGATCCAACTTTAGCCCACTTGCATATGACTAAAGATCACATAAGATTAAACGATCAAAAGAAAAA